AAAAAATGGCCATTGTAGAGAGGTGGCTGTTGTAGGAGGTGGCCGTTACTGGAAGTTTGACTGTAACTGGTGCCAACACTGGAGTGAGATGTAACCAGTGTCAACAGAGGGAAAACATGTCACCAGTCCTAAGAGCAGGAAAACATTTAAGAGTGACCAGGTAAGAAATCATGTATAACTTTGCACTGCTGATCAACTCTTAAGATACACATTGGGTAAACATGTGGGTTACCACTGTTTTAATTGCTTTCATTGACCACTTACTATAGCAGGCTAACACTCTGCAAAGATTTGCCTATTAGCATACAATCATTAAGAATTCTTCTCAAACACATACATATATTTTTACCTCGTAGGCAATAGGAAGTAAAGTGTGATGGAAGACAGCCAAGTAATCAGCATCTCCCATATGTTTCTGTGTACAAAAACATGGAGGTCAACATCAATCAATGTGTTGTCATCAACAAACAGTGATGGGAATTATGAAAACATTCAATTAGAAGATTTGTCAACATTAAGCAATCAGAATATGGAATAAAATATTGCAATAATTATTAGAATTGAAGAATGGAAGCAAATATAAATAAAAAGTTGTACATTTCAATTGCCAGATTAAGGGCAGTCCATATGGTGGCAGACTGTGACTTGAAAGCCTTGAAAATGCTGCCAGAGGCCTGTGGCCTCGGGCAGTATTATTTTCATTCATATCGATCCTAAACTGGTACATGTAAATAGCTTAATATTTATTTTTATCTTCTCCATCTTTTGAATCACTTTAATTCTTAATTTTCCACATTTTTTCACTAAAGAGCATGTTTACAATTTAATTTATAATATTATGCATGATCGGAATATTATTTGCAGTAAAACTGTTTTAAAGACAGTATCCAGGAATAATAAAATAAATATTTAATTATTTACGAAGAATAAAATACATATCATTAACCTTGTTCCAAGGTACATTTACTGTAAATCCCTTCCCTGGTCCTGAGCCAACTACATCATAATTAGCACACGTGGAAAACGGAAAAAACTGGGCGTGGTCATATCGATGTACGGAGAAGTACAAAACACTAGTAATAAACCAAACAGAAACAATAAGAAGCAAAAAAGTCACAGCAAACATTTTTTATTTTATTATACATTGTAGTCACCATCTGTCTTCTCCTTTATACTGGGCACCATTTGTTCTCATGGGCTAAAGGCCTACAGTTAATTCTGGGAAACAGCACAACCTACAGATTATTCACTAATCTGCAAGTCCAAGACACTGATAACAAATTTGGTTAGAATTTGTGAGATGCATATTTTTTGAGGGACCATTTGCCACCTAGGGTTCTACAGTATTTAGCAATGATAGATTTATGAGCTCAAGATTTCTATAAGGTGATAGCTGATGAGGCTGAAAGGTGAATTAACTATCATCTCATAGAAATCGAGAGTGAATAATCTAATTCTAACTAAATTTCCTTCAAATAATGATTTCCAATCATTTCCTTTCAGTAGAATAGCATGGATTGAATTGTTATTTGAAACTTGTATTGGTGCACACGAGCTCATTGAAAATTTTCAGGTTTAAAACTGTATAAGGGTCACTTTCCTTTCTTCACCGTTCTTGAAAGTTTAATTATCCACGGCAGTAGTATTTCTAAATCTTGCTCAGAACATTAGTCAAGAGAAACTAGAAAACATTGTCATTATGTCAACGGCCTCCCATTGCTGCACTCTAATGGCTGATAGAATACGAGTAGCTCAGCCAATCAGATTGCAGCATTTGCATTAGAATGCTGTCAAGTAACATTCTTTTAGGTATAATATGTAAATCTCCAGTTCTTTTTATCAGCTTAAAGCCATACCTTGGATCTGATTCAAAGAGATGTTGAGTTCCATTGCCATGGTGAATGTCCCAGTCCACAATTAGCACCCTAGTAATGAAATTAGAAATGTGTCAATTAAAAGCAATGACTGTGCTGACAAGATATTATAATATGCATTAGCTTACAGTAAATATTTTTCGGTAATCTCTTTCATGATTACCTCTGAACATTCCATCTCTTTTGGGCCATTTTTGCAGCAACAGCCACATTGTTGAAAAAACAGTAACCCATGGCAAACTCAGTGTCAGCGTGATGTCCAGGTGGCCTAAAAAAACAGCAAAAAAAACTCATCTCAGTCAGCAATTTGCTAGGAGCAAAATCCAAATCAACAATATTCCATCAACTATAATCAAATTTACATGCTAAACTGGGACAAAATAAAGTATTCAAGATAGCTAATTCTATGAAGCACCTAATTGGAATTGGCAATTCTATTATCTTGCATGTACACTGAAGGCAAACCACATTTTGTCAGTCAACCTTGCTTGTTTATGAATAATATTTATTACTCTTTCTAATGAGCATTCACGAGACTACTATACCTTACAATAGCCACAGCATTATGGATCTGAGAAAATTCAACAGGACACATCAACAGTTTGCAATTAAGGCAATGTTTTAAAAATCAGCTCATTATACAGGCTCATACAAATATGCTAAATTATATAATATTTATTGTTAATAAAATTATTAAGACATCATATCCATAGATCAGACCCTTTTATACACCTGGGGACAGAGAGGCACTGTGAGAGTATAAAGTGTCGGCAGCTTGCCCAAGAGCACCACAGTACACAATGTCCCCAGCCAGGGCTCGAGTCCAAACTCGATAGGGATCAGTCAAGCAAGCTTCCATCAGGTCACCACATCTTCCATATAAATTATGTGAATAAGGTGTGAATGAAAAAGCCTGAATTACCTTATCTGTTACAACAGCCTCCACTGCAGAAAGAGTACAACCGCAAGCAAGACAAGCACATTCATATGCATGCTGTTAAAAAGACAGAGACTGAAACAGTTCCAGCTTTTACCACTCCATAAAGGAGAAACATACACATTCAAAAAAGTGATTAGACAAGTGAACACTAGAAAAACTAATAGGCTGAGGATATTTTTGGCTATAATTTTTAGAAATGAAAAGAATCATAATTAATTAAACATTATTCAACTTTATTTTGGTAACTGGGTAAATTCTTCGTATTAATTTTTTGCAGTAACCTTATTACAAGACACAGTCCAGTTATACCAGTCAAAACTTTGCATTATGATTTAGTGGAAAAACAAAACTACATGCAGAGAAAATTTGGATCACCAACATTCATTGGAGGTAAGATACACTGAAAAAATTATGCAAAAATTAAAGGCACATCTGAAAACCAAGGCTTTGCTCAAGACTAATGACCAGTAGCCATCTTATCACAGACTAGTGCAGTAAAACTTCAGATTAGGCTGCTAGTAGGTTTCCTAATTCCACTGACTTCTTAAGCTACATTGTAGAAAACAGCAACAGCAACAGCACTGTACAGTATTATTTGAAAAAAATCAATCAATTTTGGGATTACAATTGTTGAAGGTGAACCCAGGCCAGTGCAAATGACAAAAGGGTTGATATCTCAAATTTATTTAATATTAATTTAACCCCTCCAATATAATGTATTGCTTGCCTGGGTTTTAAGAGTTTTATGTAATGTTTTATGACAGGTTTAAGAGTTTCAATTCCAGAGTTTTCCAGAGTTTTCAATTCTTAATGTGCTACCATGATCAAATTTGTAGCACTTTATAATAAATTTTTACTAGGCGTATCATATAGAATTCCATGAAAGATTTAAAAAATGCTGTTTACTGTTTGCAATTATCTACATTTTAGTTCAAAAGATATTTAAGTTTAAAAATGCGTAAAATATGCAATTGAGAGGACTGATGGCATCATCCACTCAACCAATATTACATCAAACTTGTATATAAATAGAGCTATTTCAGTCAATTTACAGCAGAGGCCATTTAAACTTGGTAGGCTAATAGTTCTACAGGCAACACACCTATACCTATAAAAATTCTGTTTCCATGGCAACTCACTCTTTTCCAGTCCCTTCCAACTAGAATTCAATACTTAAGTGATTTCCAGATAGAAAAAATTAAACAAGGCCACAAAACTCAACCTAACTTATTTACATGCTTGCTAAGCTGGATAATGCAGATGAGGCATCACTGGTAATGGAAAAATGGAATCCCAAAGGTGGCCAGAAAAGCCTTCGTTATTGGGGAGGTCTGAACCCAATAAGTTGCCATGGCAACAAAATTGTTAAGCTCATATTGTGGAGTACATTAGGTAGATATTTGAGACAAGTAAACAGCATTTTTCTTCTCGAACAGACTTCTTGTTCATATGCTTTAAATAACATAGCTCAGATAAGAAAGTAGCACTTTAAGGAGGTTTATAAGGGAGGCAACAAGAAAGAATCAGCATCAAAACCTGACTAGTGGAAATGTGGTTAAGTTAAAAATTGTTTTGGTCAAGCCTGGTACATTTCTAACATATTACCAGTCAGAAGGCCAAGTTTTATTAAAATCTTAGTCTCAAATTAGCCCTGAAAAAATGTTAGTAGCTATTATCTTGAGTTCACGAACCACGAGCAATGTATTATCACATAGTTATGTTACTTCATGATAATTAATTAATTAATAAACTGTGTAGTTCCAGAAAATATCCCTACCTCCCCCACGGAAGAGATTTTTTCTGACAACCTCCCACCCCTCTGGAAATTCCAGTTAAGCTTCATACATTTCTTTAAATTTTTTGGTCTTTCAGAACTCCCACCCCCCAGGAAATTCCAATCCCTTCTGTGGGGGGAGTATGGATATTTTCTGGAACTGCACATTATATGAAAGGCAAGATCAGATGTCAGTATTTACCTGACTATAGTACATATCTTGCTCAAATGTCACTGCTTTTCCTTTTGCAAGTAATTTTTCATTTGACATTGTTTGAGTTGCCTTCATATCTGTGAGATGTGGTTGGCTAACAATACATTAAAATACTAAGTAGAAGTAACTTGAACTTTTGTAGATTGGAAACAGTCAGAATGAAACAAAATGCCAAAATGTGCTCTTTTTTCACACATTACTTCTAAATTATGTTCCATTTTGTTTCACCCTAAAACAACTGTCTTCTATTTGGTGTCTTGCTTTCATTTCATGTCGTTACCAGAACTTTTTCAGTTAGCAGTAAGGAACAATCAAGGCTAAATGAGGCCAGTGTGACTCAGGGAACGTTCCTTTGGGATGATCTAGCTAGATCAGGATCTTTTGTCTGACAATGGTGCATCAAATGAACCACTGAATCCACTCTAAGAAAGGAATCGTTAGGTTCCGTTAATGTACTGGTCATGATCTGAGTCATGAATCTTAGAACATTGATCCTGATCCTGATCATGGATCAAAGGAATGCCCCTGCAGAGAAACTGTACAAAATTTCAACAAAAGAGAGTATGAAAAAGCACATGATTATGAATGCAACTCAGCACATCCTTCAAATCAAAACTTGGACCAGTCTAATTTAGTTCAAGGAGATACATTCAGAAACAAATTCTCCAGGTATAATAGAGTCCCAGCAGTCTAGCATGATAAGAAAAGATACTTTAAATCTAGCTTGAAAACCATGCACACAGGTCTCACTCTCATACCTGTCCAGCATTATGTTATCACTGCCATAATTAAGTAGGACAAGTTAATTATCCGAGCGACATGTCCCTTGCTAATTAATGGATAATGAAGTAATTAAAAGTTGCCTAATGTATGAAATTAACCAATCCTCACCTGACTCATGTAGACCGAGTCATAATCACACGCCCCTATGTTATACAGTTCCTCTTTTGTCATGGTCTGCGTTGATTTCATCTTGTTAACATGAGCTTTGCTGTAATTTATAATGCAATGCTGTGTGTTCATGAAGATTGGTGCAGAATTTTCTTTAGGATTTTGTAAAAACTTTCTTTGCATTCATGATCAGAACCGTTTTATATTCAACTATTTTCCACAATACAACATTTTATGATACCATCAGAATCAAAAGAAATACTGGCACTTTAACTTCATCGTTTGATCAAAATTTTAATGCATTAATAAATTAAATCAATTTTAGTTTTTGATTACTAAAAGGCTAATAGTGAAGGGTAATGAACACGTTTTGACTATTATTAGTAAATAATGAAAAATTAAATTCATACCTGTGTTGACAGAGAATCTCATCATCTGTAGCAAACCGAGACTAAAAATAAAACAATGTCAGGATTATAACAGTTTTAATATCACTTTCAAATAATTACAATTAGTTTCTTCTAATTTGAAAATATTTGTCATTTTTTTGACAACAGTAAATACGGTACCCTTAATCTCACTATTAGGCAATTCCCAGGGATACAATTTTATTTTGTATGTGTACAGTAAATGTTCATACAGCATAAGTTGCACTTGACTTACAGGGAGTTCCTGGCATCTTTTCAGCAGACCATACTCCTTATGCTTGTCATAGGGCCGCTGAATTCTATCTGGAACTTCAGGGTGAGTTCTAAATTTAAAAAAAATATAGCCTTTTGAGTTCCAAGGAATATATCTAGAACTCAAGGTTAGTCTGTTGTACAATATGTCACATACGGTTCTCTGTGCATTAGATCTGGCCAGGCAATATACAAAATACATGTAGGAATTAGTGGGTAGACTTCTTATGGGTTCACATCTTTAAAATTATCCTAAAAATGTTTGTGGCTATAATATCCATGCAGACATTTATGAGACAGGTATTGCACACTTCGACTAAAACATTATTTTCTTGAGCTGGATCAACTTTCATACTTACTGAAAGCACTTCATATGTTAAGTTAAAATTAATATCAATAATAGCTACAGTTCCAGCCTAGCTGTGTGAGCCATGTATAACCACCTGCAAGAATGAGCCAATTAAATACAGAATGCAAGGTCTTAACAAGTGACTGTGTGCACTGGTGTTACTGAACAGATGTACATACAGGTAAGTCAATCCCCATGTGTAGTGAGCTTAAATACAGAAATATTTATTATATTATTATATGCTATCTACAAACAGACAACTTACATGTCCCAAACATTGAAATGTTTTTTCATCCTTTCATCAAAGACAATTCCAGTTCTAAAGTCAATACAAAATAAAACTTACAATAGATACTTAGAAAATGGCATTACTTTTATTTAATTTATTCTCCTATTATTTTATTGGTTTGTTTGTTTGTTTACTTTAATTTAATATTTATTTACCATGATCTCTATTTATTAATTAGAAATAAATAATAATAACTGTTTTACTATTCATTATTACATGCTGGGTTACCTTTTTGCCTTGGTTGCAGGCTCACTGACTACCTAGTTTCAAAAACAATTGAGAGTGTTTATAAGTTTTAACTTAAAACAAGTGCAACACAATACATATTAAACAATTAACTAACCATCTACATCTGCTGTGACGACTCTTACTAAAAATTGGACATTTGAGTTTGAATGTGTTGGAAGTTTAGGATGAACATGACCAAAATTACAAAAACTACACTGTCTCCACATAATGTTACCATAAATCTTTAGCTGAAATACTTTGATCGCTTAGTGTGAAATGTCAGGTCATAAACAAAGTCATAAGAATGGTCCCTTTAGCACAACAATGTTCCCAATAGCATGTGCATTTCAATTATATTGTTTTCATGAAATATAAATAATTATTAATATTGCATTATTATTATTAAAAAATTATACACTGTACATACCAAGTTTTGCATCCCATTAGTATTTACTTCATCTTCAGACGACATTATTCTGTGAGTTATCAGCAGAGACGAAATAAAAAAAATCAACAAATTTATTCTCTAAATCTATCAGTGTAATTCCTTAAAAGGTATAATTGATTGGTAGACTTAAAATAAGACCTAGTATTTATTAATTTAATTTTTGTATTCAATTACAAATGGGGCACTTTGAGGCAGTTGTACATGTAAGTTCCAAACCTTGTTAGCTTCCAACCCTCACTTCCCCTCAGTCTTTTGCCTGCCTACCTCTCTGCCCAAAAATTCAATCTCATGAGCATCAGCTCAGCCTCCACTCCTGCTTCCCTCCCTCTCATGGGTAAGACAGGTGACTTATAAGGATTGCAGGTTCACCACTTCCTTTGCCTTCCTTCCAGTCAGGCTTTATATGGTATGCCTACGCGTAATTTTTAGAACTTTTTAATTGCTATTTTGTATTTTAGTTTTCTATGTTCTGGAACAATTATTATTCCAATCACGCTTGTTGGATAAGAGCTGACTATAGCCAACTCATATCCAACGCATACTTGTGGAATAATTGTTAAATATCCTGGGGGAAGTGAGAATGACTATCAAGCTCTCAAAGGAGGCTACAAGTTAATGATACCAATAGTCATTTGAAGTT